GGCGGGCGTCCCCCCCCCCCCCCCCATAAATGGTGCTGTGATCGGATTTTCAAATCTGATTATTTTCAAATCTTTGTCATTTCCGATCAGGTCATTTAACAGCTTAGTATGCACTATTCCCACAAATTAAGTCTTGAATATCTTTTAGGCTTCCTGATGAAGCGTGGGTATAAAGAATGTCTACCAATGTCTGATAAAACAAACTAAAAGAACCAGGTTGGAATATGGACCGTGTATGTTTAGGAATATGTCTGCACATATCACAGGCTTTTATGCATGAAAGAGAAAAATGAGAGAACATACGTGGTAGCATCCTGGGAGTACAGGCTCAGTTTTAAACCATCTGAAATGAAGCTTAAATTAGTAATCTTTTACACAGCTTTTGCTTTCTTGCCTGTATTTAGGCATCGAGTAACATGCGTAGGAGAGTTACCGTAGTTCTGGTGGTGCATGGCATTTTGAAATAGGTTATTTAAAATTCCAGGCCACATAGTGGAGCACGTGCCGGGGGCTGACAGCAAAGAACACACGCTCGGAGCAGTAGCGAAGGTGTTGGGCTGTCTGGAAGGGCACCACGGATAAGGGCTTCGCTGCGTTTATCGTCCCTTGGAGCCAGTAGACAGTGAGGCAAAGTCATATGTTATTAAACATACTAATAAGAGACCCTCTGATCCTGAGGACAGCTGCTGACAACAACCGAAACCGATATATGTTTTTAGAGATAGAATTACCATTTTTTAAGCGGTTATGACTTTAAGTTGACATTTCTTGGTGTAGAAGGGAGAAACATGAGAAGCTTATTGTTTGGTTTATGTAGTTCCATGGTAGTGTTAAAAATCATCTGTAAAAGATGCTTTTCTTTCCTGTTTTTTGTAAATTTAATTCCTGCCTCGTGTTATGAAGGTAAACAAAATGTCTTCTTTTGACAGCTCAAGTAGGGGTGCAGTGTTCTAGCGTGTTCCCATCAAACTAAGCAGTGCTTTCTGTAGAAAGGGTACCCAGGGTACCATATCTTTCACTTCTGGTGAACTTGGGAGCTAAAACTAAGGATGAATTTTATACACCAAATTGAGATGTTAGTTTATCCCGTACTGACAAATTACACTGAATGCATAGTGGAAGCATGTTCAGAGAGGAATTACGAGGCAAAATCTCTAAGGGTAGGGCTTCAGTCCTCCGTTCGTACATTTGGCTCCCACAGGAGAGCCTCACGGCCCCAGCAGACCTGCAAGGGGCCCCGAGCCGTGGCAGCTCCATGGTCCTTCCCAGCCCCCCAGTGTATTGCTGTTGCCTTGGGCCGGCAGCCCAGGCATGCAGAGTGCCGAGAGCTTGGCTGTCTTTCAGTGGGAGTGGGCACGAAGCAGTGGAAAGAAAACATCGGGTAGCAATAAAAGTAGAAGTTGGGAAAGCAAAATATATGTTGAACACGAGTATTTAATTTTCCAACTTGTGTGGTTTGCTCTGTTGGTGGGTCTGGGTCCTGCGGGGTTTGTCTTGTTTGTTTGGTTTTAGCCTTCTGCAATCCCTTCGTGTCCATTCATTCTCCACATTAAAAACTGAGCATGCAATTATCACGACTAGGGAAGAGCGGCGAAATTACACCTTGCTGAAGTAATCTTCTGAGATTTACTCTGCTTATTCTTTTTGTCTGTGATATAATTACACTCAGTAACGGAGGCATTCAGCTTGAACCTATGTTTACAGAACCTGTTTTGCTCTGTGTAATTTTAAATTTGGTTAAGTGGCTAATACTTGGAGTCAGTAATTGTTATGGCATTGTTTACCTTATTTTGTTACTTTTGCCTCCTGAATACTTAAATGCAAATCCTTGTTAATTAGCCTGATGTTTTTAAAATCAGGTAACTTAATACTTTAAAATTTAATCTAAAAGTTATGCACTATTGTGTCAGAGATCAGCAACACTGGTAAAGAATGGCTAATATCACACTTAGTGTCTCTTTCCAAAGATGTATCTTATCCACTTTCATGCTTTCTGGTCTTAAAATTTGTCTGCTTGTTCAACCTCAAGAGGGTACTGGAGTCCTTTCAAGAACAAATCCTACTGTCTCCCATTTGACAAACTGAGAAAAGTATGTAGTCATCTTTTCACAAGAAAATTGAACAAGTAGATCCTGGGGGGGTGGTGGTGGGGGAAGATATGGCAGACTCTTTTGTTCTGCATGAGTTGCTGGTTTGTTGGGTTTTAATACGGCTTTTCATAGTTCCTACCTACTTCATTTGCAAATACACTGGAACACAGTGTTGTTCCTAGGGGAAGCCATCGTGTCTGGCTGCTTCAATGCCCGAAGTCAAGACTAGTCCCAACAGTTTTATTTCACATTAGTCAGAGAGCTGTTGCCATTGGATCCATTTGATCTATTCCAGTTAATTTGCACCAGCTCTGGGATATAAACCTCACAGCCCAGCAGGATGGGTGTAAAGTGACTGCAGCATATCTTCCTTACTTTAGATTAATACTTTAAAATATTCTTTTGTTTTGATTAGCTGAAGAATAGAGGAATGGCAAACTTCTGTTTTGATTATAACCCTACAAATGAACATCAAGTAACTGGACACAGGATCATACTGTACCCATGTCACGGCATGGGACAAAATCAGGTAAGATTCATGTTATATTTTCATTTTGACCAACACTATGGTTGTAATGTAAAAAAGTGTGGTAAAGGCATTGCCGTAGGGCTGAGAGAATATGTTGCCACAGTGAGGTGATCTTAGATCCAATTTTGATTCTTTTAATTTTGATGTATCTTCAGGTCAGATTTTCTTCATTCTGAAGACCTGTCTACCCAGAGCAGGGAACTCATGCATACTTTACTTATGCCTTCCCACAGAGCTCATTAGCAGGGGTTAATAGCACAGCAGCGTGGCTATCGTGCTTATAGGCCAGTGTTTGCTCATCTCCAGCTGGTCTTGGGCAGACCAGCACATCTCTGAACTTTTGTCTGTCCACGTCTCCAAAGCCGTTAATAACGTTGCAAACCTCACCTAGTTCTGCCTGTGTCTGTCATCGTGCCACTTCCTCTTGGTGCTTGTCTATCTGTGCAGGAGGTTTTGGATGGCATCTTCTCCTGTACTCCATTCCACAGAAATGTCCTCCTGGGCTTGGGCTCTGGAATCCTGGAGAGCAGGGATCCCCTCTAACACTTTCATTCTTGCTCTCTTGGTTTTAACTTCTGAAGCTGAAAGTTCTTGCTGGTGTCTTTCTCCATGCGGATTGAAACTGTGTGCAGCAGTGGTTAGTTATGATACCCGTAAAGCTCTCTGTATAATGTCATGGTAAAAGTGTTGTGGGGCACCGTGTGCCCATCTACAGTGGCCATTTCGCATGGTTTTGAGTGGCCACCTTCTAGAATTGCGGTTTGGTGTTTGATGTGTGGCATGTAACACGTACTTGCCTATCTAGCTTGATTTTTGGTTTCTAACCCAGATTAGACTATATGGCATGCTCCTAGTGGGGAGGGGTGGAGAAATATGTAGGGTCTGGTTGAGGGTAAGTACATAACCCAAAGACAGTTTGGGTGGCTTGACTGTTTGGGGTTTTTTAAGGAAATTAATCCAAACATTCAGTTAGGAAAGGAAAAACAAGTTTGGAAAAGAACCAGAGATGTGGCAGATAAGCAGTGTATCTGTTATCTTTCTGAACTCTGCTTTAAGAAAATATTAAAGCTTGAGGAGTGAAAAATAAGTCTGTACTGAGGAGAAAGCTTCTAATATGAATTGCATTTTAAGTGAGGAAAGGAAATCAAACAATAGTCTGAGCACTGTGCTTCGGATCTTAAAAGGAAGTAGATTTGTTTCTGATAGCAAGTTTATTGCCTGAAGTATTAGAACTATTATTTAGTATTATTTATTAGTTTATGTCTAGTTTGTGTCTTAACTTTCCTAATGTTTCTGTCCTGGAGGCCAAGATGCAGGGGAAGGTAGGAAGAGAATCTTGTGTCATAAAAGCCAAAGGATCTCGGTACTGACAGATACATGTCAAGCACACTAAGCCATGTCACACCAACCCATTTTACTCCCTCAGTTCAGCTCCATGCCCAAGTTAAGCATACTTCTATACACCTATATAGAAGATAGCCTAGTTAAGCCACATCCTTATGAGGAAGAGTTGATTGCTTTTGTAGATTAAGAAGTATTTAATGTATGGGATTACATGCTCACATGCAAAAGGTATTTATAGATTTTTTTTTTTTTCCCCCTGGTATTACAGACTAAAGAGAGGAAAGGGGTTGAATCTTTTTGTGTTTCTCTGAGCAAAAAAAGGTTATTTAAAGTTTATCCCTTCCACCAAGAAAAAATAAAGACGTAGGATAAAAGGTGAAAGCAAAAGAGAAGTACAATTTAGAGTTGAATTGTTATGAGATGACATTTTTACAGTTATCCTTTGTTTAGCTAGCACTGAAAGATTAAGTAAGTTTACTGCAAAGATATCGCACCACTGCATATTAATAGTTCTTACATCTCCACTGATGGTGCGATGCATCCACGTACCTGCGATGACAGGCACCGCACTGAGAGCTGTGCAATTACTGCTCCCTCTGCTGGCATCCAGGCAGCAGGAGGAAGGAGAAATGGAAACACTATCCGACTGCAATATAAACCGAGAAAAGAAAATATGACGTGAGACAAGAGAATTGCAGAGTCTGAGGAGGGAAGGCTAAACACAGGAAATGGGCAAAACAATATTAGTGAAATGGGCAAAAGGCATGGGAGGGCTGATGGGAGTCAGGGAAAGGGGGCCAAGGTGACAGAGGGCAGAAGAATTTTGGGACAGAGGTAGGGCAATAGGCGAGAAGCAGGGCATGTGTGGCAGAGGAAGGAGTAGTTAGGAGCTACTGCAAGGGAGCGTGGAACAAGCAGAATCACTGGAGACCCATTTAGTGGAAAGGGGCAGGGGGACTGAAGGTGGGAGCAGAGGTACCAGCTGGCAAGTGGGGGCACGAGTAGGGGTGACAGGTAGTAGCTGCAGGAGAAGTAGTGGACAGTAGGAAGAGCTGCGGGTGAGGGAACAGAGGGAGGCTAAAATAAGATGTAGAAGCACAAGTGAGATGGGAGCTAGAAATCAGGATTGCTGAACTTGCACCTCCTTTTTCTGGCTCACAAATAGCCATGAAACCTACCAGCAGGACATTTCTCTCCATTTCCTTCCTGTCACCCTGCCCTTTTGACAGTCATTCTTAAAAGGTAACAGGCTGTTCCTGGTGGTGTGAATTCCTTAGCTCAGTTGGCAGGTGACAGTGGCAGGACCAAACAGGTTAAATCTCCCATATGTACATCTACTGCTGTCAGCTGATGGAACTGATGGTGACAAGGTTGGTCATTCTCTAGTTGTATCAACGCTGAGGAGAGCAAGGCACTTCACCCCAGAGTTTCATAGATGTTTGCTGACAACAGGCAGCCCTTAACTTCTGTTTTGTCCTTGGAAGGGAATCTGCTATCCTAATCCCAAGCTCTTCTGCCTGCTCTCCTCCGGTCTGCCCTCATCACTCCATTCATTACCTATACACAGCTTTAGCAGCAAACCCTCATTACAAAGCTTCACTCCAGTCCCCTGTCCTGCACCACATCACAGACAGCTCCAGTTTCTCCACTCCGTGCTGTTTAACACTTTCTTTTCCATGCCGGCTGGCTCCCAGTTGCTTCTCTAACACCCTTGTTCTGTCTGTCCCCTCACTTGCTCCTCCTACCAGTTACTATCCACACTAGGTGACGTTTTGCTTCTTTTCACGTGCCTTTCTTCTTTCCTGGCTAGCTCTCATTTTTAATTCTCTAGTCTTCTCATCTCTTCCTTCAGTTGCATTTGTTCTACCATTCATCACTTTCTTCGTCAAATACTGCTCCCTGCTGCACATTCACACTGTCTCATGGTATAAAGGAATGACATTTATTTTCCAGAGTACAGCTCAGTAAAGTTATTCTCCAAAAATATCTTGATAGGATTTAACATTAATGAAGGTTAACTTGGTCAGCCATATGTGTCTTACACTCCAGTACGCCCATCCTCTGGCATGATATGGTAGTGGCAGGTGGCTGTTTATGTAGGGGACAACTGCAAAAGTTCTTTGCACTGGAAGCAATTCCCCACTTTAAGTGACCTCTGAATATCTGTGTGCGCTGTGCTGAGAGGAGAGAGCTCTCTACTCTCGATTTTTTATGAAGTCCAGCACCTGCTCCCATTTTATGTCTCAGTAAGTAAAACCACTCTCAGAAACTAAGGTCCCTGGTATTTTGTTGCTATTTTTCCTTGAATCCTTGGCCTAAGTGAGAGGGTTCCCTTTAGTCCTTCTGAGTTGCTTTTGTGTAAGCAGTAAGAAAGCTGACTGTGGATTGTTTAAAATTAGCATGTTCATTATAGCAAGAAGGTGAGGATATGACTGTGGTGATAGGAGCTGAGTGTATGTGGAAGAGAGGCAGAAAATACACAATACACTGGCTACTCGGTGCTTGCACCTCAGGCTGCAGATGTGGAAGTGTCTGCCCCGGCAGATGAGAATGAAAGGCTTTGAAATTCAACACCAGTACAGCCCATTGCCCTTCATGGTATGGCTGGGAAGCAGTACAGAGGGCACCAACGCATGACGGCAGGAAGCCGACCTGATGTGGTAAGACAATGGGAAACCACTGAGCAGCCTGCTTTGTCTGACATTACCCCTCCAATATTCCTATTTGCAGCCGATAGATTTAAGGCAAATAGGGAGAGGCAAACAAAAAGCTTAGCAAAGCCCTTGGGTTTTCTGTGAAAGGGGTATCAGACCTGGTAACCTCTCTGCTGGTTCTACCCATCGAGTGCAAACTTCTTCGTGTGTGCAGAAGAGCGGTAGCCAGGCACAGAGAGGGATGAGAGTGTGTTTCAGGGTCTGGTGAGGTAGCCAAAATCTGCCTCCATCCCTGGTACCACAGAGCACTGATGCGGCTGGAGCATATCCCATAGATCACCCAGAAGCTGCAGGCACTGGGTAAAAGGCCTCATCGAGTTTCCCAGTAGCGCTTCAGGGAATGTACTGGTTCTCTGAAGGAAAGAAATGCAGTAAGGCTACTAGTTACTGGGCTATGGATCAGTTTGATAATGCTTCCTTTCTGCCCACAGAACCCACTGGGCAAGGAAAGAGCACTAATAAACACTTCACCTTTTGAGGAGGAAGAGATTTATCTCATGTATTACCAGAGCATGAAAAAGCCTGAAGCCTGAAGTATTTATTCCATTTGAAACCGTAAAGGGTAAAGAACTGTATAATGTTCATTGGGCAAGGAGGCAGGAGTGCTTGGTTGCTAATACTATAACCTCAATCCTTCAAGTTACCCAGAAATTAACCATTTTACTTGCTCTTCTCCTCCAAAATCTGGTGCAAGTCCTTGAGAGACCATTCAGGAAAGCTGTCAGTAGTAAGGAGTGCTTTGACCTAGTAGCCGCTCCATCTATTCTTGATGCACCTTGTACAATCAGCAGCTTGCAGGCTTTCACTGATACTGTATACAAATTGCTAAAAAGAGTTATACCTAATAAATCCACTAACGAGTAAGGCTCTAAATGTGGCCTTGTAAAAGTGGCAGCTATAAAAAAGTGTTCCTCCAGACACAAACTAGCAGGAGTGAAGCTTTTTCTTTATTCAGGGGTCATAGGCTTAAAATGAGTGCCCTTATAGCTCACTGTGCTGCCTGAAGAAGCAGGCTTTCCATGTCCCAATCAGATACCAAACCTGGGAACTAAAGCCTGAAGGCTGGGGAATAGCCCCTGCCTATTAGGGTAAAAAATAGTAATAAAAATTGGGCAAATATTATCACAATTGACTTTTGATGATGAGACATTTCTGGCATAAAGCAAATGTCGTAAAGGCAGTGCAGCCTACATCACAGGAACAGGTCCTAGCAATAGGTTTCAAGGGGAAATCAGGGTCTTCTGGGTGTTACGTCAGCAGGTAGACTTCAAACTTGAAGTTGCTTTCTCGAAACGCTCACTTCACTTTATGGCTTACCACAAATGAATGGTGGCACACAGGTTAATTCTTGGGGGTCAGTCACTTGCATCACTGCTGGGGGGGCGGGGGGAAAGCCATGAAGCTCTACAGGCTGACGCAGTAGGCAGCGTTGGTCTGTGTACGGCTGCGACAGCCACCTCGGCAGAGAAATTCCTGATTCTGATAAAAGGAGGGGCAGATTTCAGGAAACAACTATCATCAGTGTAGTCTAGATCAGAGCTCTTACACCTGGAAAAGGGTGACTGCAGACTTTGTAATCACATGGTCCTGTTTACATTAAAACCGCATTTCCAGGTTCTCTTTCAAGGTTAATTAGCCTTGGTGACTGTTAAGGATGGTTTTGTGGTAAGTTCAAGTATATACGATATTTCTGAATTGGTACAGTCCCCTTCACACAGCCTTACAGTCTCTTTCTCCAGGGCTGAAACAAAAGAAGAGATTTCTTCTCTCCCTCATCCTTTTGTTGGTTTCCACTAATGCAGCTATACTATTGGTAACAAGCAATTTTCTGATGTGTATAAGACTCTCCTCTACTGAGTATAATCTAAATCAGATCTAAACACACATCCGTGCACTACAGTTATCTAAATTATTTACAAGTGTGCTAAATACAAACAACTCTCAAACTCTGACGCTCTTTAATGAAGTCCAAAATCTGGCAAATGTCCATGATAAATAGAAAAATTTTAAGGAAGTCTCCAACCATAATTGCTACAGAAGCCAAGATGTTTTACAGAACGTTCAGAACACCTGTAGAGTATTGTACAACAAGCAAAGCCAGTAAATTGTCTTTAATAAAATTCTGTTCATGTTTAAAAGCAGCTGTAGCTGATTTGCTTCAAATAATATCTTAAAATGTTATATAATAAAATGCTCATCACCATGCATCCTGAGTACTTTGTAACTGGAAATGAACCTTGACCAAACTGCATTTGAACTATGCAGTGAGCAACTTCTTAATTAAAAGTAACATTGTTTTGTGACAACTGAATTAAGAAGGCATAATGTCAGGCTATAAACTGTTTTCCATCACATTTTTAAGGGTGAACTAGAATGTGAAAGTAGAATATTACAGTCAAATTTTGTAAGTTCTTTAATGCTGGAACGTCTGTTTTCCAGGGCATTTATTCAGCATTTCATACATTTTAAGTGCTAGCAGACTAAAGCAGTGCTGTGGTGAGATTGATTTTCTGTAAAATAATAGGCAAACAGCAGAAGTTAAGGCTCCTTGAATATTTTTGGCAGAATTTCTCTCCACAGTAGCAACTTTAATATGTGAACTTAATTATAGTATCTTAGTATATCCTTCTTATAAATACTTTCTTGTGTATATATGAAATGACTGTTGTCCTTTGTTTCTTCTCTTGGGTTTGTAGTTTTTCGAGTACACATCCCATAATGAAATACGTTACAACACCCGACAGCCAGAAGTCTGTGCAGCAGTCGATTCAGGGACCGACTACTTGACAATGTACTTGTGTCAAGAAAATGTCCATAATATTCCTGAAAACCAGAAGTTCATTTTCAGAGAGGTAAGTGTGCCTGCTTAGTTTTGGGTTTGTTTTTTTGGGGGAGTGGGTAGAAGGAGAATTGTTGAGTTTTTTTCTTTTTATCTTACTGCCTATACATCATGTAGGCCACAACATTGGCATAGATCTCTGGGAGAAATACGCTATCTTGGCTTTTAATATCTGAACACAGAACCAGGGTAGCAGCAGTGTGCAGGTGAAGAGCATGCCAGTCATAAAGAATAGAAAGATGAGAGGAAGGAAAGCGCCCTTCTTAACCTCAAAAGAGCTGGAAAGGTTGGCAGAGGTCTCTCTTTGCCCAATCCACATCAAGCGTGCTCTGCGGGCTGCTCAGTTCTGTCTCACATCTCACCCCTACTTTCTTCTGAGAAATGAGGTGCCTCCATATACCCCTTCCCCAGCCAGTCTCATTGCTGGCCTACTTCTGCTCTCCTTTCATGGACTTCTTTTATTTCCCAGTATTCAAACCACCATATATCCCTGATACTTCATATACCACCATTACTTTACACTCTTCCCTCCTTTTGAGCAGCTAGCTGCTGCTTCTCCTCTGCAAACCATCTCTCGTGACCCTTCACGTAAGCACCAGAAGTGCTCCCTGAGCCTTTCTGCAATGTAATGTGCAGTTGTGTAATTTGATGCACCATCAAAAAATACCTTCTGCAATACTCCTGCCCCTACACAGGATGCAGCTTACTGGCTGTGGGGACTCAGCAAATCTGTGCCTCTCTTCTTTGACCTTAATGCCTGCTCCCAAAGGGAAGAAATATTGATAAGTATGGAGTAAATTTAATAAACGTAACGTGTGATCTTAGAAAACCTTGTGTTTAGTAGTTTTTAATCTCTAAAGGAGTTCCTGGATGCCTGAGAGAAAATAAATTGGATGAAAAATGATGGCCTTGGTCAGGTTCTGGGGTGTTATTATTTGGCTAAGGGAAAAGGTCACATAATATATCAGAATGGTATATTTACATAAGGTGTCTGCATAATGTATCTAAACTCTACAGGCTCCACGGTTGACAGATTTCATGCTTAGGTACTACCACCAGTGATAGGTGGCAGAGTAAATTCTAAAGAAAAATACGAAAACTTCTGTCCATTCACTAAATCTAGTCCAGACTGAAGCTCACAGTGATATTACTGAGTAAAACAAAATATTCAGAAGGCTGACTTTATAAATGATGTTGCATTTTTAATGCTGACTTTTAACAAAATTTTTCAAGGTCATATGCATTAATCCCCAAGATGACGTATGACCCTCAGGAAATAATTGAGAAAACACAGTTTTGGAATATATCTGTTCCCACTGCATTCCTAACCATTAACTTTTAGCATCAGAAACTTTAGGAAGTATTTTAAATCTTCTTTCTTCCTCGTGATAACTTTGTGCCTGTGTGTGATTTGAATGTACTGCTCTGCTCCAATTCCTCCTCTTCTGTTGCATTAAATCAAAACTACCAGTCCCCACCTTTTAAGGCAAGTGATGGGTGAGATGTCAGCACCACATTTCTCTTGCTTTGTGCGGAGAAGTGTCAGACGCTGTCCTTATAGATGTAGCATAATCAAAGATTCAAACAGCCTTCCCAGCAGCCTGGCAAGAATTAAGTTCTTACGGGCACGGAGTCAAAAACAAGCGAGGCAGATATTGATTAGTCCACTCAAAAATTTGAATTATCACAATGGAAACGGGAAAGTCATTCAGCAGCCAAGTCTGTCAGCAAGCCCGTGAGCAAGCACGTGCTGCTGGGCATTAGGGGCTGTGGCTCAAGGCGCAATTAGTGCGGTACTCCTGACGACGGGAGGAGCAGACTTCCAAAGGAGTCAAGGTTACGCTCAGAAACATGGAGTTGGCATTTTTCTTTTGAGGCCGCCAGAGGCTTTGGAAGTGGTTACGTGTGGGAGTGTCACCAGGGCCAAGGGAATGGTCTTGGAGCAGGGCGGTTCTCCACAGCTGGCTACGCTGCCTTTTTGCAGCTCGCTATCCTAGATGACAGAGCTGGAGATGAAGTCTTCTCGGAGACTCGCATAATAGGAGGGCCTGAGGCCTCCGAATGTGTTTTTTAGGGAATCTGACTGCGGAGGCCTGTCAGACCTTGCACCTCTGATGCAGCTGTGCTGCCCTCCAGCAAAGCAAGCTGACTCCACACACACCTGCAGGCAAGGGGCACACTTAGATATTTTTGCCTTTTCCACTAAAAATATACCCTGTGAAGAAAGGGGAATTTTTTTTTTTTGCTAAAAATATATCCAGCATCTACACTTACTAACAACATTTTACTTGCGAGATGTGCAGCAAGTTGATGAATTTGGGTGATGCCTGTACTCGGCTTTGTTTTTTTCTGCCCATATTCTGGTGGAGTAATAAAAGGCAATGGAAGTGAATGAAGTTAGCACATCCTTTATAGGCTCAGATGTCAAGACACGAATCACTCTAAAGCAATGTTAATGTAGGTTTAAAAGCAAGGTCGTTTGATAAAGTTTCAGAGATCCTCAAGTTAGGCATTTTGGCTTCACTGCATGGCCCCATGAGAAGGGTATGTGTGATACTTACTTGTTCCTAATGTCTTCTGTTACTTTTAAAACACAGGGATATGCCTGTAGTTTTTAAGACCTGAAAAGCAAAAATTATTTCTGTCTTTTGTAGGATGGTACCCTGTTTCATCTACAGACTCAAAAGTGCGTACAAGCCGAGTCAAATGCTTACGATGGTAACCCAGCACCATTGTTACGACCATGTACGAACTCAGACTACCAAAAGTGGTTCTTCAAAGAAAGAAGTTGATACAGATGTCATCTAGGATATAGCTGAACATGTAAATGTGCTCTTTCTAGTCAGCGGTTAGTCAGCCTTTTGAAAATCATGAGTGATATATTTTTGTATGGAAAGAACTGTAATTAGTTTACAAGCCTTGGATTTCACTTTCTGGAGCATTAAAAGGCACTAAGCATTGAGAGCAATGTAAAGTAAGTGCAGTGGTTGTATCATGCCACACGCTCCTCCTCTTTTCTCTTTATTTGGCAGCTACATAACTGCTTCTGAAGTGTCTTGGGTTCTTTTCACAAGTGACAATATATTTTTTTTAATCTAATGTGTGAAAGTAAGGCAGTCAAAATAATTGCACTAATGTTATCTGCCAATAACTTAAAATGTTTATTTTTCTACTAAAACATTCTGCAGTTGGGCCTTTTAACAGGTAGTAGTTAATAATTCTTGTTGCCTTTTAAATACCAGGAAGGTAAATGTAGGCCAGATTCTGCCCTAAGTGACTATCACAAAACCCTCACTGAAGACAGTGTGGATTTGCACATGACGGCAGTAGGTCTGCAGGGTTTTGCACAAGTAACAGTCTACATGCATACAGATTGCACATGCTTGACAATACTATACATTAAATGTTGTGACGATTTTAGATGCTCATGGCACTTGGCAAGTTTCTAATTGTGCTTAAGTCTGGTTTGGGAGTAAAATGGGGATTTTCTCATCTTTCTTAAAGAAATAAGGCAACAATATTTAAAGGTGATGCTCTGGGAAAAGCTGTTTGGATTCACATGAATCTAGCAATGCGGCTATGTCCCAGACTGCACAACTTACTTAACATTATGTCGATTTTCAATGTGTGTAAAACTTGCAAGATCAGACCTAGCAATAATTCTTGTGACAAATTTCAAAATTACAGTTAGAGAAAATGAATCTAAGAAATTGTATCTTTCATTAAATTTTTAAATGTTTAAATGGTTCATATAAAAATGATTATATAAACAAAAATGGTTTTGCAACTAATTGATATTATATGCAGCTGATATTAATACAAAAAGAATTGTGTTTCAGATATAACTTGTATTTTGTCTGGGAACTCCTTTTCTGGTAAGTTGGCCTTATCAACACACATAGTCCTATTGAAAACGTGGGGTTTAATTTGCACCAGTAGAAGATGTTTTCTGCAGTGGTGTGTGGGATCTGCCTTACCCAATCAGACAAGTAGCATGTATAGCCATGTATTTGGTCATTGACCATCATCATTACAATGTTGATGAAAAGGGTTTCAGCTCATAAGGAAAGTTTCTTTCTGTATCAGCTAGAGGTATGCTTATGTGTAGAATCGTGAAAATTTCAACCTTTTTCCATCAGAAGTCTTGGCATCTGTTTCGATTAGTTTTGGATGGATTTTGTTATTTGCCTTTGTTCATGTTTTCTATAAAATATGTACAGCCTTTTCTTTGAATCCTCATAAGCTCATGCCATTTTGGCATACCTATTTATATGATTAGGGTGGTGTGGGGGGGAATTTCTGCCTGTAGGAGATGTGTACATAGGTTCTTCCAAGGTCTTTCTAAACCCATGTAGATAGAATGTTTTTGTGAGCACCTTTAAAGTTTTGTCTCTGTGGGCTGGACTGATGAAATTGATGTTAGAATTAATAAAATATTTTGTGATTCAGCAGAGTGGGAACTGTCTTAACAACCCTTTTTTTTTTTTTTTCTTGTGGTCAGTGGTTTTCTTTTAGTCATTTCTCTGATCTCTTAGGCTCTGATTCTTGCAGCACTTGGGAGAAGACAGCTTTATTTTATGGTCTCTCAAGTTCCCTTTCCTGAACTCAGTAATGCTTCTGTTCACCTGTTAGCACTTTGTGGAGCCACAAATCAAAACTGGGTGGCTGCATCAGAGAACTGTGAGAGCTCCAGCAACACAGCAAGGATTTTCTATTCATTTCTGCTCTGCCTTCTTGACTGTTGATTGAATTACATTAGTAAGTTAATGAGGGCCCAGCTATTACAATTGTAGACAAAATTCTCATTGACCTCCATGGTCAGTGAGGTTTTCTTAGTTTTGGGACTTCCAAGATTTCATCATCAGGTGGTGTTACGCAAGTGAAACAGTAATTGGAAATGATTTTCCATATGTCTTCCCACTCTGCACTTGTGTAGAGTGTTTTGGGCTTCTAGTTACACGCAGCTGAGCAATTTTCTCATATGCCAGCAAACCTGCTAGCCTGGGCTGAATAGCTAGGCAGACACAGTCATGTTGAGTTCAAAAGCAGACACTGAACGTAGCAACGTCACCAGCTTGCTCCCCTTATGTTGGCCTTTTAGTCCATCTACTTACCATTTTTTCTCGATACCCTTTTCTTCTTCTCATCTCACTGGAATTGTATTAATGTCAAGCTTCAAGTTTGGAGGGTGAAGGGCTCTATGAAGCATCTGATTGACAATGCACATCTTCAAACTTCCTTTTGCAGGAGATCAGGGCTACCTGTTGAGGAATGGACTGTGGACTTTGGGCTTCTCCTGAGAAGGGGCTGGATGCCCCACAGAAATGGAAAAATTGGAGGACTTCAGTCACAAATTGATACTTCACCTGGTTCTGGCCTCCTAGGGCTCTCTTTGAAAAAGCGAGAGAGAGGAACAATTTCCACATGGTCCAAATCAAGAACCAGTAGGTCCCCCCCTTTCTTAGTATTAATCTTCCTTTTATACTTAGAGCCACGTGTTTCTTTTCCCCTTTGCCACTAACTGTGTGAAGCACCCATAAAACCAAAACTTGCAACTCAAGCTTATTGATAACCTTAGATTAAAATAATGGGATACCAGCAGCGCACACTGGGAAGTCATCCTTCTTTCGTTTTGTACCATCACTCTGTTCAAAACAAGAAAGGACATTTTTTAAACATAGAGAGATCGACCGAACAAAGTGTCCGAAGAAGGTATCGTCCCAGCGTACAGTACGCCATATAAAATTGTAGGGTAGAGATAAAGAAATCTGTCTTCAGAAGGGATTTTACTCCTTCCTCATTGCCTAGCTGTGAATACAACCCCTCCTATGTTTACTGCCCTTTTTTAGGCATTATACTGGATCAGCATGATTCTGTGTTCTCCCAGGTTCTTTCCCTTCCCCTTGTCTGATGTTCCTTGGATGTCCCTAGGTATGGGGCATATTTGGCACGGTTGAGGCACAAAAGATTAAGCCAGAAGTATTTTACAAAACTAAACTGTGCAAAATGTTTTCCCAATTTTCCAAGTGCTGTGCTGAATACACCTCGTGAGGAGAACAGTAATATGCAAGGAGTCTTTAACCTTTAATAAATTACCTGATGGTATTATCCCCAAAACGAGAATTTGGGGTTGCACGTACTGATTGAACTTGCTGATTTTTTGGAATAAAAAAAAAAGTCATTTTAAAAAAATGCTTATTTCTTAGTCTTTGTATTCCTTTATTAAAGAAAAATAAATTGCAATCCAGATTGCAGTCTAGTGCCTAATTCTTTATCATAGTTCCTTGAACTCATCAGGTAGCTACCCGTTCTCCTTTCATTTAAACATTGTGGGTCTTTGACATGGGCTAGAACTTACTGAATTTTCACTTCAACAGAAGACAGTATATGAACCTTCCTTCTAAGAACTAAACCACTTCGGTCTTGACCGAACCGTTATGATGGAGGATTTTTAGAGCTTGCACAAACACCCAGGAACAACAGTCATCATTGTATACGCATCGATCAACATGAATTGGAAGCAGTATTTCTTGCTAGCTCTGCTGAAACAAAGACTCAAAACTGTGTTCAATTTTTGTTATAGGAAGTGATAAGATTTACTAGAAGGGGAAATTCATGTTGGTTGGTAATGCTGGGACTGATGGGATTGTGCTCCTGTTCCCTATGTATGAAAACGAAAACACGGGTCGTTACGCAGTGATACTGCTGGGTTGGTAATTTAAAATCTGATGTTCTTTTAATTTCATTTGACTGTCTTAAAGCCTTTAGATTGGGAGATTAATTTGAAATTGAGCTTTGTTCTTGATACCCTGATACAAAGATGTAGCAATCAAAAGGTCTAAAGAGACTACAGGGTTAGGATCATGCAGTTGTGTATACACGCTTGCAACTGTGGGGTTTTTTGGCAGTGTTTGAGAATGCCATATATCCTCGTAACAAAGACAGAATTTTGACTGTGCTAGCAGGTTAACTGAGGTAGGTGGGAAAGTCCTCGGGAGGGAGAGAAGGGAGGGATAGCGGAGCTCCCCCCGTTCTGTCGGAGTGCTAGCAGTTGACTGCAACAGCAATAGCCGGGTTTGAATTAGGGCGCTGCAGTATTCTTCCACTTCCCATTTACAGAGAAAAACAATTACGTGTGTATATGCAGTACTAAAATTACTATGCCTAGATCAACAGTTTTCAGTATTGTTCTTCAATCCGTTACTCACTGACTTTTATATCAATAGACAAGCCTGTTTACACCAGTCCTAGTCAGCACCAACAGGAATGACGTTGCTGGAGATGGCATGCTTCTAGAGGCTTCCAGGATTTCTGAAGGGTGTTGGAGACAAAACGGGGGTAGGACATTCTCAATGAATTCTCCTAACTCCAAAAGCAAGAAGATGGAAGATGCAGGAGGTGAGTCACTGGCCTGATAGGTAGCGTGACATGTTTCATGTAGCATCAGACCATCTCCCAGAGTGAGAGAGGACTTGCAGCAGATGCAGTTTCTTTCTTGCAGCTGAAGAAAAAGCAGTCAAGGGAGCCATACCGGTACAGATACTTAGACCTGAAATTCATGAATAGGTACTCTGTGATGAGCAAATGTAAAGAATATATAAAGAACAAAAATGTTAGCTATGCATATGCTTTGAGAAGACTTAGTAATAACTGAGAGAAATTGGAAATGATCATTAGCAGTAAGATAGTTGACATAACTGTTTTTCCTGAAACGTAGTTGAAGGATTCACGTGATTGAAATGCTGAAGTGACTGGGTAACATGCCGGGAAGAAAATGACATTTGATTTTCGA